AGATAATCTAATTGTCATGGAGCCTTCCACTTACAGGTCATTTTCTTGGGGTCTCTTTAAGCCCTGCAAAGCTGACTTGCCTGAAATTAACTTTCTCAAGATTTCTGTTTTAACTTATTTGGTATTCTTTGTGTCAATTTTGACCTTTGCTTGCCTTTTCTTAATTAACTGAAGTGCTCGCTAAAGAAACAGCATTACTATGCAGGTCAAAGGCAAGAAGGAGCTGAATGCAGCTCTATCTCCCCTCCGTCCTTGTCCCTCAAGATCCCTGGCAGGTGTTCCTACTGACCATCTTCCACCTAGAATCCCCTGCCTTTGCCCCACTGGTGTTTCTGCGTCTCTTCCCTTAAATGTGATTCTATCTGATTTGCAGTTAGTGTAATGCTTACCAAGCTTTCGGTCTGACTATGACTCTTTATCATGAAAGATGAAATCGAGCAATATTTATACCAGAGTTAAAAATGGGCCAAAGTGCAGGTCATCCATACTTTGAATGGTTGGACTTAGCAGAAAATTTGAAAATAAAATGAGAAAAAAATTAGTCTTAATCTATTAATGGAAGTGGGTTTGTTATGAATGGTGTCCTCTACACAAACTAGTCTTTCACTATGTGATTCATTGATCAGGATCAAAACTTTAAAAAAAATGTTTTCTCTTTTACTCCAACAAAATAGAAATACAGAAGTTTGAAAAGGCAAAAGCTTAACTTTTCAACCTTCCCTCCAGCATTCCCCTCTGATCTTTACCTCTGTCTTTCTGCGTTCGGCTCATCTGGAGAAAACAGTCTGTGCCATGGTATGGCCACCCTGGCAACCTGAGTATCCAGTCAACACCACTCTCCCTCATTTGTAGCTCAGTTCCATCGCACAAGTCAAGTGTTTGCTTTGTAAAATAACAAAGCCTTGAGCTCTAGGAACATTCAAAAGAACTTAATTTAAACTTCTGTATCTTGGAAAGCTATATTTCCTATTTGATTTGTATTCAGCATGACTACAGATGAGAATGAATTATTCTGTAAAGCTGTTTTAGTCACTCTGAAAACAGGATCAGGAATGAAGAAGGAAGAGGAGGACGAGGAAGAGAAAGAGGAAGAGGAGGAGGAGGAGGAGGAGGAGGGAGAAGAGGAGGAGAAGGAGAAGGAAGGGGAAAAGGAGGAGGAGACATCATCTTCGTGGTGGAGCCCACCACTGCATCTTAGAGGAATCCAATACCATCTGCCAATAGCTTTTCAACTAGAGAAGGGGTCTCAGGAGCATCATCCCCTTTTCACGCTGAAGCATTTACTGGCTTGATCTATCCAAGTCTGTGCGGGCAGCTGTAGCATGTTCTGGTATATGTGCCCTACAACATGTGCCCACAGAAAGCACTAAATGGACTTAGCAGGTTCTTTTAAAGGGGGTGAGTTGAGATGTGTGTGTGAGGTTTCAGGAATAGATGGAGGTGGGGAACAAGGAATGCCTGTGATCTAATGCAGTGAAATTACCAGAGAAAAAATAAAGATTTTTTTTAGAAGAAGAAGAAGAAGAAGAAGAAGAAGAAGAAGAAGAAGAAGAAGAAG